ATATAAACTTGGCCGGTAAGATGTTGCGGTGTAGCAGCGTGAATAATAATTTGTTATTGACGTAACAACGACTCTTCTCCACGCTTCTTTTTTTGTTAAACACGAGGAACGAAACTCGATCCAGCGTCCCCAGCCAAATACGTCGATATGTTCATTAGAACGTGAAATAATATCGATGAAGACTCGTTTAAAATTCGCTACTGATGTCGTTGCAACAAGATTTTATTACGTGTATAACAAATCGAAATCAACATTCGTCGATATATATACTCTATTCGTTTCACTTTTATATATTAATATTTATTTAGAAAAAGTTCCCGGACAGTGTCGAGAAATACAATGAAATTTCTGAAAAATTTAATGACACTTTAAAAATATACTCGCGCAACATTCGCGCGCACGTCATAGCTTAAAACACAACATGATGTATTGGTACGCATGACTTTTTGGTCGAGGCATCTTGTATAAAATTATATATAAACTTTTGTCAACCTCCCAACCAACTTTTTCTCGGACTAAAAATACGATATATTCAAATATTTGTCACTTTGTTACACAATGCTTTCTGTTTTCAATTTACATGGTGCGTGGCTGCGTCAATTAATGTACTTAGAATCACCAAATTTATGTTTCTACGTGTATATTCTTAATAAATGTAATAAACTCTTCAGCTCGTGTGATAATAGGTGTCACTTGAACTATTTGCAGGACTCAAGCGCGTAGCTTGGCCACCACCTCCGGAAGATCAGGACTTCGACTTTGTGGAACAAGGCCCCGTACAAGCGAAGGTAAATTTCATCATTTGGAGAAAACGTCGTTAAAATTAAACGTATGCTTAGTGACACTGAATAGAACGATTAGCGTGAGAGATTACGTTTTTGTGTTTCTGATCAAATGAATCATAGTTATAGAACTTTACATACAACTTTAGAACGCGACAGCTCCAATGCCACATCGAGATTTATCGCAACGAAAAGCGAGTTCGCCTCCTGTGCACCTTTGTGCTCGAATTATATGTGATTTTTGTTTCGTTAATGTTTTTTTTTTTTTCTTGCATTTGTTATGCGTGCATAAAATGTTCCCGTTTTATGTTTTCTCTTCCTATTTCTTAACGAATGTGAACTGTTCCCTTCGTGCTTGCTATTACAACCTTCGTTCGCATTGGTCAAGCCGAAATACACATAGTTTGAATTCGAGTAAATTGACTAATCTGAACAAGGCTCGAATGAGATGAGATTCCCTACAAATCCTGCGTGTCTGAATTTTCTGTCAGCCATAACTTTTACACGAAGATTTCCTGTGAATTGTCAGATGAAATTATATCGTAGGGAATCTCGTCGTATTTAGTATAATTCTGATTCCGTGCACGTTGCCCATAAGTAGTATACGTTCGTGAATCATGCACAAGTAGGATTAATACGAGATGTAAATAAACGTTTGACTACGCGGTTGACTACACCACCATGGATATCGAGGCGGATAGTCTCAAGACAAATTTCTCAACGAATTGTCTCCCCCCCCCCCCCGCCGGGTACCGCGCTCGAAACAATTCGAAAGGATGATTTGAATCTGGCGAACAATTCGATTCGTCGTCCGACAATGGCGATGTCCTACAAAAGCCTCTGTTTTTTCCCTTTTATTTTCCCTCCGAAAGACCCGTGGAATCGGTGATCTCGCCTCGTACCAGAGCAGTCCCTCGTCAGGTTCGTCACCGCAGCCACCTTCAACGATCGCTCGTTCGTCGACTCGAAGTGCCGTTCCATCGTCTCCGTCGCCGGTTAGCCCTGGTGGAACGCTACGGCAACCGTCGCATTTTCAACATCAAGCAGGCCCAAAGGGTTGGCGACCGGTAACACCCCCGGCTACTTCTCCCATCTCCCAACAACCGATTCAGCCTAATTGGTATAATCAGCAACAGCAACAGGATTACCAGGTAAGTGCCTGATGCATAGGTGTCGACTTTTACATTATTACGCTATATCTATTGTACAAGCGATGTTTTAAAATTGTCTTTCAAATTTTAAACTTGATAAAGAAATCACGAAAATGAACACAAAATTGAGTCGTCGTAATTTCTATTTTTCTTTAACTTTCAAATTCTTCAAGTTCGAAGCCGACACCTATGTGCAGTTGAAAAGTTTCACAGGTGGATCGCCTCGCAGAAGACGTATACGATAACAAGGAACTTATTATACCTTCTGAGTATTTTATGTGTACTTTCCGCCACTGTTCTGGAAACAAGCGTGTAGTCAACGGCTGTTAAATCTCAAGATGTGTTGTTTCCCTTGGATTCCGATTACGTTGAAAAATTCTATCGTGTCGCACATAAATTATGAAATTTGCAAGATCAATCTAATTGTGTTGTTAATTTTACAGCAACACCCTCAAGACTATAGTTCGACACAACCGGCACAGAATCAATCACCCGCCCTTCAATTTGAAGCACCACCCTCCACGATCACACTTCGTCCGCAGCCTCCTATATCACAGGTAATTTAACAAGTTTTTTAAATATCACCTAGTTAACTCTTTTGCGAGAAACAAAGAAGAGAAGAGAAAAGAAAACAGAATGGAATCGAGCATTCCGCCCACGCGTGTTCCTTATATTAGATACTTGATATAACACAATAATTTGTAGAACTAGCACGAAATAATACAGAACGTCTGGCATGAGCTCAATCCTGAAATATGCGCTATTCTCACAATCTTCACCGAATCGTTTACGAATCGTTTACATTATTGAATTTCTGCGTTATGACTAGCTCTAAAACTAGCTCTTCCATCCTGATAAACGTAAATGTTTTAGATCTTTTATATCATACATAAATTATATATGTGCACAAATTT